AATAGTAAAAGTTTATATTAATTTTATTATTAATATTAGAGATTAGTGCTATCAATCCTAACTTAAATAAAAAAAAAAAAAAACAGAGTTTCAACTTACAAAAATTAAATTTCTAATTCAAAATTTAGAAATCTGTAATATTAAATATTAATAGTTAGATTTAAAAAATAATTATATATTTTAATATATTTAATTTTCAAATATAAATATAATATTTAATAAAATGAATTTTTAAATTTTAAATTAAGTTTTAATTAAATAAAATATTATAATTTAATGTTAATACTCTAATTTATTTTAAAAGTCAAGATTGATATATAATTTTCTCTAAATATTATATAAATCATTTAATTAGACAATTAAATAATATTTAATATTAATTTTTATTTTTTAATAATTTTTAATATAAAAAATATTATTAACATATACTTTAAAAAATAAGTATTAAAAAATCCTATCAATTATATACAGTGTAATTCTCATTAAAAAAAAAAAAAAACCCCTTATGTTGTTGCATGCATCAACGTGGATGAAGACATGTCACAAGTTTACCTTTTTTTTATTTGCGACGATACTGATGTATTCTTCAATCAAAATGCCCCTTAGCGTACGATGGAAGACAAAAAGTTTTTTTTATTTTTTTTTCTGCACAAGTTGTTAAGGGCGGGTTCGACTAGCCCTGCGAAGGAAATGAACCTCAATTTGGTAAATTGTCAATTAATCTAAAAGTTCAGATGCAGACAATAAAGTTTTTTTTAGTTGATTGTATAATAAAAAATTTTTTTTTCTATTCTTTATTTCGCTCTACCGGCACCTCAGGTTGCTTGAATTGCGAAAGGAAATTATTACGTTGTTGGCGAAGACAATAAAGTTTTAAAAAACGTAAAAGTGTGTTGGCAATCCCTTCTGTATAAATTCAAAATGTCAACGCATAAGTACAGGAGGTGGTTGTTCTTATTTATTAAAAGTACAAGGTTAATTTTTTAATTTAGTTTCTTAATTATTATATAGATTTTTTAATTAGTTTTTAAATTAAAAAAATTTTGATTTAGTCCTTACTATTAATTAATTTGACCTTAAGTTTATTTTTTTGTTAAAAAGTAGTTAACATTTTTTTTTTTGAATATATTTGCAAGGGACGGGTTTCGAACCCAACCCAAGGGTGGGGGGAATGCACCAGGGTGACTATTGCCACTAGGTCTCAAGGGCCAGGTGCTAAAAAGTAGTTAACATATTCATTATTTAATTTAATGGTAAAAAATAATTATTTAATCGTCACATGTCATATTAATATTGAAACACATATATGTTATTGTACAAAAAAATCAACTTAAAGCTAAATTGATAAATAGTATGAATCAAATCAAGAATTTTTTTAGTTTATAGACCAAATC